GGCTGGAAATTGGCCTCGTTCTTTTTTTGCGAGTTTATGGACCTCGACTCCGTCTCGGTCCATAAACACGCAAAAGAAGAACTTGGCCAATATCCAGCCGTCTTGACCTCACACTTGGTCAATAACCCATATATATCAGCTTGATTTTGCAACCCTATTGTAGACTAGGCACCAAAAACCCGTACTCTATCCCAGACTAGCTATTTTCCATGCAGAAACGTTATCACTATCGTTGTCGAACATACGCTAACTAAACCAATATCTCACAAAGTCACTTCCGAGTCTCAATTCCCATTATAAAACCCCTGATAAAAAGCCAGGTGTTCTAGAACAAAGTATTTACACACTGGCCACTTTTCCGGTAAATTATACCCAATTCTAGACTAAAACTGTTTTACCTCTATACCCTATCCCAAACAAACCTGCCTGAAAACCATGCACTTCACAGCGGCGCATACCCATATAGTTTATATTTGGGAGTGTGTCCCCTCCCCCTCCCCCCAAGGGTTCTTAACAGCATATTGTTGATGTAGGGAGAAACTTAGCGCTGATCACTCTTGTTTGCAGACAAGTTATAGAGGGCGCTCGAGTTCTTGATGAACTGGAAAAACAGGAAACATTTAATGAAAGACCCAAGTCTCAGTGTGTCATCTTGGACTGTGGATTATTCGATGTGAAAGGCCTGTGGGATACCCCCAGATCTTAATTTATCGGCTGAACTTACAGCTATCTTTAAATCACTCTGTACGACTTGGCTGTGTGCGAAAGAGTGATTGAAATCTACGTATCCACATCATCACCTTTTATGAAGCATAAATTCATGTCCGAATACCTGCTTACCAAATATCTTTGAAATCGAATGACCAAGTTATATTGACTATTGCTGGATTACACAATGGTAGTAACTTCTCTGTCACCTTGCTGTGCAAGTTTGTTTGATCGTTAGATATGGAAGACTGTTTTATTCTGCTCATGTGCGAGTATTTATAGGATTAGCTTGTTGTTAGCATAGCGGAATTAAATGTCGAGTAGACATCACACCGCAGTTACGTAGTTTGGCCAATTAGCACATGTGCAAATCGCGCCGCCACAAGAATATTTTTTGATGTTGAACGTACTTCTTCTACAATTATGAAAAGAGTTATTTATGAGGCAAATGAACACCGAATCTTGAGACAAAATCTGAACTTCTCAGTAATATTTAGGTGAGTTATCTATTTCCGGAGCGTTTGCAAGAAATTTCAAAATACGAGTACACGGTAAAAAGAAGTCTATTTTCGATAATATGTATAATATAGAAACCCTGGAGACTTCTACTGATTGCATTTAAAGTGCTTAATATAGATGAAATAAAGATTTTAACGGAGTCTTTGTGTAACTTTGGCGACCATTGATACCAACCAACCGTATATAGAAAAATTAAGTTTATCTGTTAATTACTGGAAACGAAGGGAAAAAAGAATTGTTTACATGGGGCAGGGTCAGATGAACGATATTGGAAAGTTAATGGGGCAAAGTTAATTATTTTCCCAATTTTCATCGTTCGTTTCAGATTAGGTATCAAAATTCCCGCAGCAGTGTTCAGGGTCTGTTCGCTTACATTTATAGGAGAATCTTTGTTTAAAATATTTGCCTCATTACCATAAGCGATACGGTTTCTGATGGAGCTACAAAGAGATTAATACTGAATATTGAAAGGGCACAGCACGATTAACTGTCCCAAGGAATTTGAGCGCGATGTATTGAATACTTTTTGTGCGACGAGGGTTTAAAAGTTCAAATTTTACAAAGAATGTATGAGCTCATTAGCGCTTTTGCCACACAGAAATTTTGATATTTTTCAAAGCCAATTTCTCCTCGAATATTACACCCAAAGCGCTAAAAATTTCACCACTTATTAAGTTTCACAAGCCCTTTACGTTTTTCTAGTAAAATCGTGTCTAGCATGATGCCTTCTATGCGCAAAGTCGTATGTTAATGAGGAAAAATGTAAACAATCACGTCAGCAAAGATTCGCCTATTAGAGAACTGTTGAGAGAATTTAAATACTGAGAATTTATAACTGCTGGGGTAAAATTTTACTTCTGATGCGAATGGAGACTATTTTACAGAATAATTGTAAATGTGCGCTGGTACTTCTTCATAAGGGCTAGACCATTTGACTTTTCAGAAGGGGGCTGGACGATTTTGAAAAAAAAGTCCGCAAGCATACTTGAAAACTCGTGCACACGACCATTGCCGAAAAAAAAAATCACCCCGCCCATTGAGCCAAAAAAGCATAAAAAAGCATGTTACACGGAGAAAAGATATATATACACAAGTCTCGCGAAAATAAAAATATAGTGTATGAAAGGGTTAAAAAATTCCTGGTAATACAAAATCATCCATCCTGTCACCCTCCCCTCTCCCACCCTCAAACGCCCACCCTAAATATGCAAATTTTAGTTCTCAGAAGTTGGCACGTGCAGCTCGTGCTGATGACATGGTAAATGGTACATGTTGAATACGAAGCTTAGCTATAGGCTCCGTGTACACTACGTATATATACGCCAGAGAAATTTGAAAACACGGCTTTATTTCTACGGTTAGGCCTACCGTCCACACTAATCCGTCACGAAAACGGAGCTTTTCGACAACGCGCTCTTCGCACCGAAGGAATTTGAAAACGCCGGTTTGGCGTTTTAGTGTGGACATAAAACATTTTAAAACATACGGAGCTTTTCGAAAACGATGTGGTCACCAGCATCATTTGGTTTCCCTGTTCGAGTTTTCGGCTCAAACACCAATCCAAAATAACCGGCGATTGTTGCGTTTTTAAATTCTCCCTGCGTAGTGTGGACGGAAAACAATTGACGCTTTTGCAGATTTAAACCTCCGTTTTCAAATTCCTTCGGCCGCGAAGTGCGGATGGGGCCTAAAAGACCCAGACTGTGTCAGCTGGCGACACTAAAGGCTCCACCTTAGTTTCTCCGGTAAAGTACTACAAAAGGTTACCCTGCAGTGTCTAAACGCGCTAATAGGGAGCTTAAGCAAACCACGACGACGACGGCAACGAGAATTTCACCAGACAAAAGATTTAATGAGAAAACAATAGCTTTGCACGAGCGTTATAAATCTTTGTACATTTCTTTGCCTTCCTCTGCAAAACAATAACGTGAAATGACCAAGTTCTGCGTAGTTTGAGGAACGCAAGCGACGACGGCTCATTTTTCGTATTTCCATTGGAATGAATTGAACGCTGCCATTACATATTAGCCTCAGCACGTTTTTAGAGCCATTGGCGTACTAAACAGATCTAGAGAATTGCGAATTTCGCTGGTAAAATATAAATTCCTTTTTTTACTAGGCCCCGTCCTCGGCGTCGGGAAGGAACTCCCCAATCTGCAGCTTTGCGCACTGAAAGGCTTAGAGGCCAGGAAGCCTTATTTAAAAACAGTGCACAAAATCTCTCGCCGTTTATCGACAATGTGAAATGAAACAGATGTCCTCCTGAAATGTCGAATTACTCAAAAACTGAGATATGTAACCCCAACGTGCCAACTTAACCAGACTAAGTAGGTAAACAAGCGATAAAATGCATATAAAATAAAAAGGTGACGATAAATAACGCCAGCGCAAAAGCTATTAATGATTGAAAAAGAATGGAAGGTGAAGCTAAGATGCTAGAAATATCAAAACTATGCCACGGAATGTATGTACGGAATGCATCAGCAAATAAAGAGAAGACAACCAAGATAAAACACGAACAGGCTGAAGGACGTTAGGATATAAATTAACGCTTAGAACAACAGAGTACAGGATAATTTAACAAAGTTAGAACTAAGAAGATTGAAGACAGGGGTAAAAATGAGCAAAGCTAAGAAGGTACGCGAGCTAAAGCTGAAAGCAAAACCTAGTGCGTGGGGACATAACCAAGACGAGCCAAAGATAAATGAACCAGCTGATACACATAAATACTAGGAAAATTACCCCATCTTTGGTTCCTTTAATTTTGCTCCACCAGCCGGCTAAGGGACCCAAAAGTGCGTGTTGTTGCAAGGCTTTTAGTGTAGTGAAGACAGTTCTGGATTCTTTGCAGCAAGTTCATGCGGCGGCTGGGGGTGGTTAACAAGTGTCCACACTACAGCGAAAGTTGACTGTCGTTCCGTAGTACTAATGAACGAACACGTTTCAGGTGAAGCAACCAAATTTGTAGGAGCGCAAAGGACTACTGTACCGACCCCCGATCTCGGCGGTATGTGAAAAGATTACTTAAATTTATCCTGTGAACTAATTAATTATGCAGTGCCTGCGTGCAGAAATATGTATTTCTTTTAGGTGTTTAATTAGGTTGTTTTGTATTAGTTCCCATTGGGATAATCAGGCCTTTATATACCACTCCTTGTCAATACCACTTGACGCCGACCAGTTTACTCGAGGATGTTTTTCCTTATTGCTAATATCGTTGTATAAAATAGCGTGTGACATTTTCTTATATTCTCTGGCTTGTAACCTGTATTCAGCGTGTCTCAGATTCTTGTAAATAAACTCGATTATTGCTGGCGGCTCCCTCCGTTATTTGTTGTATTATTTGTCTCCTGAATTATAATAGAAATGTTTTCTTTTCGGCTGAGCGAACTCACTTTTCTTTCTGCCTCCAAATTACAAAAAAAAAAAAGGCGAGGAACGTTTACGCGCAAGCTAATTAAATCGAAACTGTTGCTAGAATTATTGCACAGGATTTGCAGGTAGAAGGTATAACGTATTCGGGCTCCGCCCGTGGTACATGCCCCGAAACGGGTCTGTTTTTCAAACTTTTCAAACTAATTGCAAGATATCATATAAATTTGCAACTGCCACCAACTCACAGTAGCTTTACACTTTACAAAATCAGAAATTTCCCAAGGTTCCCTTGTTCACTAAATTTAACACTACCCTCCCTACCCCCACGCACGACTAATAGGGGGGCGCCTCTGGCTCCCACGCTCCCTTGACAAAGTCTTCGGTTGTCATGGTTACAGTTTTAATGCTTCACTGGACGAAGCACAAAAGAAAGGTATTATCTAATTACTTGGGAGACTCGTTGGCAACCTTTTAGAAAGCTCTCTTTGTTAAAGATAGGGATGTGGAGTCAATATGACTCGAGTTAGTTTTAACACCTTTGTACTGAATTTTCGAAGAACTTGGGCCTACGTAAAAAGTCAATGTCCCTTGAGTTTGGAATATTTACCCTTGAAGGTTTTCTGGTTATCCAGAACTTTCTTCAATTTTATTGCAATGAAGAGCGGTAATAATTGCACGTAGTTTATTCAAATGCAGATTTCGTGCTATTTTTATTTGTTAACAATACTATCTCGTTGAACAAAAACAGAGTCTCTTTTCATTGCAAGACAAAACAAAAACATGGCCAGTGGTCGGCAGATAGCATGGCCACAGAAATTAAAAATAAATGGGTCTTTCATACGAGGCCAGAATGTCCATTATGAACTGAGCTATTAAAACTCCTCGTTTTAACTGCGGCAACTGGGACTTATTTATGAGAAGTTACCATGTTAACACAGTTGATTTCAAACACCCGGTGTTTCGTGAAAGTTCCAATTCAGTTTGATGTCAGTTTCACGGCTCATTGCCACTGTTGTAGCTGACGTACCAATTGCGTTTGATTTCGGTGATGCATAAACTGTCAATAATCACGTTTTCTCATCATTAATAGGTACATCTCTCCCAGCTGGGGTGTCTCTCAAACAGTCAGCAAAAAATATTTCATCGGCTTCTGAATAACGTAAAATCGACCCATCAGAGAATGTATAACGGTTCACGATCGCGACCGACGGCAGAATTTTACCTCCTTGTAAGGGTAGGTTTTAATTTATTCAATCATGCTTTATGCAGTCAAGGGAATGTATACGACATCAGGAATACGTGTGACTAGATTCGTAGGGTCTTAAACTGGGTCTTAAAACAGTTAAGCAAAACCCACACGCAAGTTTACTTAGCTTCGCAGCTTTAGTTACTTCAATCAACTATATCTACTAATTGTTTGTTCTAGTTACCAGTTTCAAGGATGTTGTTTCGTCAAAGACCAACAAAGCACACACAACATACACGTATTCCTCCCACAATTAAAAACTGAGTTTCGTACAAAGCGATGGCGCCCTGAATCAATAATGGACGCAACAGACGGTAGGAACCGCGCAACATGTTGTCTTCGTCGGGCGCGATCGCTCTCGCACGAGGTTAATCTTGAATTAATCAAATTGTGTTCAGTGGTCGACTATTACCCAAAATGTCGCCAAAGATGCAGCTCTTTATTTTAACAGGTTGAAACTTGAAAGTAACGATTATGGAGCAAACGTTGAACTCATCCTTACAAATTAAAAGCCTTGTTGGCAGGTGAAAATAATGTATCTAGTGACTGACAGCCCCAGGGCAGTCCGGTCCCGTCCGGTAGCTGGGAAAAATGTCCACAAGACGTAAATTGTGACGTGACGTAAATACAAATAACTATTGTACTATTGTCTCTTATCTGGAGTATTAATAGAATTAATACAGTCCACTGAAAGTTACTGAACTTGTAACACGATAAAAAAAGATCGAGAACAATCGCCTTTGAAAAGCCGTACACAAAAAAATGTCTCAATGATGATATATTTCATCGATATCATACAAGGCACCCACCCCAACATGGGCATTTCGTGAGAGAGATGGTGTGCGATTATGCAGGTAATAACAACTCGTTTAATGACGTTTGTGATGGCGGTTGACAAACGATGCAAATTACCGAACTAATTTCATTTCTTAAAATCTTGGGTAAATTTTGATCAGATAAAAGACAGGAAAAAAAAATTGAAAGTTGACCTCATGATCCACGAAATATTGTACACAACAAACAAACAAAAGTACTTGAGTACCAGTTAAAAGACTCTCATCCTTTGAACTTGCTAATGGAATTTGGCGATACATCAAGACATTGTCACCTTGTAGATGAATATCTTTATTCTCCTCACCTGATTACTTGACAGTGTATTGTTAACGTAATGAGGAATTAACTTTTGATCTCATTTCTCTACAGGCTGCCGCGGATGAATCGTCTGTAGCGGCTTGCCCTCTCACTCACCAGGTCCAAATGATCTGCAAGCTAAAGAACATTGAGCCGCTGGTAATGCCATTCAACATTCAAAAGAAATCAAAAGAGTTTCTTGAGGTAAACTCCACAGGCAAGGTACCAGTTCTCGTTCATCAGGTCAGTGAAGAAGAGGCCCTTGTTCTTGACGATCCGTTACTTATCGCCAAGTACCTGGAAGAGCTCTATCCAAATCCACCAATCAGGAGCAAGAGTAAGGAAGCCATTGTCGCCGGTAGTAATATTTTCCAAAAATTCTGCGCTCTCATAAAGAACAAAGATCCGACAAAAGATGCCTACCTCAAAACAGCGCTGCTGAAGAAAATGGAGGAGCTGGAATCGCTTTTACAGAGCACTGATGGATTCTTTATGGAAGGTGACAACTTGAGGCTTTCTGACTGTAGTTTACTCCCCAAGCTCCTGCTCGTTCGCGTGGCTGCTAAGGAGTTGAAAGGCTTCGAGATTCCCGCGAGGCTCCAAGGGGTCTGGGACTATATTCACGCTGGCGAGAAACACGTCGCCTTTCGCGAAACCTGTCCGTCTGATGACCTCATCAAAGAACATTGGTCGAGAAATTTTGCAGTGCCCATGTTGGAAGGATACGAGAGAAAACTGTAGTGCCTCATCTTGAATAAGTAGAAATCAAGAACGGACAGTGTTCTCTGTAAATAACGTTAAGGTCAGGCGGAGAAAAGCTAGACTAGCGTAATATTAAACTTGCTGCAGAAGGAAAGCACAAAACGAAAAACGGAAAAGCTTGAACTGGAATTTTTTCTTCTCTATATGTATAAACGCTGTGTAGCAGTAATAGATTATGCAAACGTTTGTTTGAATTTACTGGCTTAGCTCAACCAAACGATCTCAGTTTGTATCGTTTACTCGAAGCCACTTGTCTATGTTATTCGTCGCTCAATCTTCTTGTTCAAACCCGGCCCTGACGCGCTAATTTTTGAACTGCGCCACCTAAGAGAAGCAAAAAAAAATCGATGTTCTTCCTTGCTTACAAAATAAAGACAATGCTAAAGTTGTTTTGGCCCCATCTAATACTTAACTCGAAAATCCTATGTTTAATTTGACAAAGTACAAGAAATTTGAAATTTGAAGACCTGGTGACACTTTGCGAGCTTGAGACAAAGTTTTGGCGCCATATTCTTGGTTTTCACCAGTCATGTAATCAAAACTAAAAATCGTAACCATTCAATAAATAAATTCAAGAATCTAGGATATGATAGATGATTGCTATATAAACAACCTCGCCAAGAATCAGGT